GGGGTTTAGAAACTCATTGTTTTGAAAACACACCGATTTTATTTCTTAGGGAGTTCTGCCTTTCTTACGTAGTGATCCTCTGCTTTTATAGGCCAAGGCGATAGATGCAACAAAAGATTACACAATAAAGGGATAAGTATGACATATAGTGGATTAAGGCAACTTAATAGTCAAACTAAGCTAGTAGGTAGTTTATTAGTCATAGTCTATTTCTGGATCAAAGGTGAGATTGAGTTCCTCTATCATCTGTTGTTTCCTTTTTCTGCAGATATCCATGCGGAGGGAGAGATCCTCTAGGTCTTCATCATAGTATCCTCTGCATGTTTCACAAGGTGACTTGGAAAAGCATGCACTTTTGTCTTTAGATGACTATGGCTTGGAAAAGTGTCGGGTTTTGTCTTTTAATGTAGCTTTTTCTTCTAGCAGGTTTATGGAGAGTAGTGAAATCTTCTCTTCATTAATTTCTCCATAATCCCATGGGTCTTGGGACCATTCACAAGGATCAGGGATTCCATCATTATATTCTTTTAATGTTGCCATTATTTTATCATGGTAGGGTCTAGGTGTCTCAGGAAAATAATCCCATGACATTTCTATTTCTGATGAAGGCTAAATATGATATGGGATGATCCTGTTGTGTTGACAGATTTGTCTTTGAAATTCTCTGTAGTGTTTGTCTAGTTCTTTAATATTGTAAGGAAATGACTTATATGTCCAAGCAGAAGGAATTGTTCTAGGTTGAATGGCTTTTCCATGTGTGAGAAAATATTGTGGCTTGTAAAGGATAAAGATGACCATTTGATTTTTCTTTCTTGCTTCTAAAATGAGCATTTCCTTCCAATGGGGAAGTGGGTAGAACCATGAGAGGACATCCACAAAATTCTTTCACCATTCTTCAATTTGTTGGTCGATCGCTTTCTGTATGAACTCAAGGAAGTCCATAACATGAAACTGTATACCAATGCGGTACTTATGTGTTAAGTACCAAAACATCCATTTCAATTCAGGAGAGGACTCCATGAACTCATAATGAAAGGGTATTTTGGATGAAGGCCATAAGGCTTCAGGATTAGTCTTCCATATTTCCTAAAGACTTCAATTTGATATTCAAAATCATTTGATCTACCTTTTGGTGAAATGTTCTTTCTTGGAATAGTTTAAGAACTTCAAGAATGTAATCAAGATAGAGATTTGGGGCTAGTGGTATAGAGGATGAGGAAGATCTAGTAATATAAGTACCTGGTTTTGGGGTGGGAGGTTTTGGTTTTGAGGGTTTTAGATTAAACATTATCATTTTTGGTTCTTAGGAAGGTTTGGACAAGAAATCAACAAGATGATTTACTTTTCCCTTAATGTGTTTGGTCTTAAAAGAATATTTTGAAAACCATTCTACCCACCGTAACAATTGGGGGTGTGGAATTGTCTTCTGCTTGAATTTCAACATCTGAGGAAATGAAGACATATCGATTTCAATAAGTAAGTGATGGCCAATAAAATGAAATTCGAACTTTGTTATGGCTTTTTTGATAGCAAGAATTTCTTTGAACATGGAATGATAGAGTAGTTTTACAATTGAAAACCTTCCATTTTTGTATGCACATATATGTCTCTTACCTTGCTTTTCTTCCAAGAGAACTGCTCTCCAGTATTTATCACTAGCATCAGTTTGTAATACTCTTTTGCCATCAGAAGGAATGTGCAATGGTTCTAAGTTTTGCAATTTCTCCTTAAAGTCTTGAATTGCTTTGGTTTAAGTGGGTCCCTATTTTGATAGGTTCTTGTTGTGCATTTTTTTAAGAGGACTGATGTATTTTGAAAGTTTAAGAACAAAATCTTTGAGGTAGTTCACTATGTTAAGAAACTGCTGAACTTATTTTTTTTATGAGGTATTGGTTTGGAAATTTTAGTAGTTCTTGTGAAATAAGGGGATTCGGTTGGTATTTACATAGGAGTATGTGCAGACCGAGAAAATCTATTTTAGACTTGAGTATTTGCATCTTTTTTTCTGAAACCATGACTTCGTTAAGAAGATTTAATTCCTGTTGGGTAAAGGAAATTTGTCATCAAGCAGAAAATGATTGAGAGGGTGATAGTTGATGACCAATCTGAGTTTGCCTCTAATTTATTTACCCTTTTGTTGACATAAAAAGCTTGACATGCCCATTGAGAATTTAATGGCTCAATTAGCCCTTACTGTAATAAGTCTTTACATTCCTATTCTGCCAGAGTGTGGTGTTTTGGGTTCATGCTTGAATGACTTGCTTTGGTGGGGTTAATGTCTTCATTAAGCTTGAAAGGAAGCTTAACAAAGAAACGCGGATTCTTCCACAGTGGATTATTACACTTTTGAAGAAATTCAAAGTGAGTGTTGGCACATGCCTTTTGTTTGAGGATTTCAACTATCACCTGACTTTGCTCCTCTAGTTGTTAAAGAGAATAGTTTTTTGGGATTGGAACAAAAGGTTTAAAAGAATATTTGTACCCGATCCTAGCTGGAAGTATTCTCGAATGTTGGCATTCATGATAAATGTCGAATCCAACAACTATATCTTGTCTAAGCAATCTTGATCAGAAGACTTGAGTTGTGATGAAGTACTAGGGAAAACACTATATGGTAATTGGTTTACTAATCAAATGGGTGGTGAAAGTCTAGTCTAAGGCTATTTTAAAATGCCTTTCATAAGGTATCGAAGAAGGTAATTACAGAGATTGGCTAGTTGTATTTTGATGGGTATATGGAAAT